CATCTGCAGCCTGCCAATTTCACACCAGGTGTGTTTCCCTGTGCCCAAGAACTTGTTGTTCGCAAATCGGGCTATCTCATTTGGCAGTCCACAGAAGACAGACAGAGATGGATGGACAGTGTCATCATCAGCAATGACAAACAGCTTTAAGATATATATATATGAGAGAGAGAGAGAGAGAAGGGTTAGGGATGGAGATGAAAGGCAGAGAAACAGGCTTGAGAGTGGGATATCAAAAGAGAGTGAGTGGAAGATTCAAAAGCAGGGATAAAAAAAAAGAGATATATTATTTTTAATCAATTCATCCCAATCAAAGAAATTGATATTACTAAGATGCAAAGGGATCCTGTGAGTGAAAGAGAATAAAAAAAAAAACTTTAGGACCCAGAAACCAAATCCTAAACAAGAAACAAAAGATAAAACCTCTACTCCTGTTCAAAAGATCAGGGAGGAGTGTGAACCAGATGATAGGCGAACCTATCTACTCCTATTGAGAGACAAAAATAAATAATAAATAAAATTTCATAGTTTAGGCAGCGGTGTTAGAAGTATAGAATTGAAGTAAACATTAGAAGGAACCGGGATTTGGATAATTTATATGAGGTGACAGATTTATTTCACTCAACACTTGAAAATTTTGATAAGGATTTTGATTGCAAATAATTACATTTCATCCAAAGAGGTTGGGGGTGATCTGTGATGGCTAATATTCAGTCTAACTTATTAATCTTGACCCATGAAGATTCTATTATGGTACAAGCACTATTGTTGCTGTGTTTCACCAGACAAGGCTTCATATGTCTCTTTATTTTACCATTCTTTATTCATGTTTTACAATTTTATCATTTCAAAGCAGTGTCAAATTTATCATTTCCAAATTGAGCTTTCACACAACAAAAAAAGTTCTTAGCACACACACTCTCACATACACGTTTTGCATATTGAAAATTTTCACCTGATTGAAGGTTCTGATATACATAGGTAAGTTAATTCTAGATCCTAAGATTTTCTTAAAGCTTAACTAGTTCCCAAAATCTGAAAAGTTTTTTTTTTTTTTTAAATCCCTTCTTGGTTGGGCCCAAAACTTTTCACTCCCACACAGAAGAGAAACCATTAACATAATCAATATTTTATATGAACACAAATTATTCTTTTCGATGATCCAAATAAGTTTAAACATTTTAGTCTTCAAGAAAATGTTTTTAAACTAAAATCATTGGGGTGGGGGGTAGATATAAAATTCAAAGTTGTCTTAAATATTTTAATTCATTAATTGTATCACTAGTAAAACCAGTTTACCTTGTTAAACCTACTATACAAAACCTGTTGAATATTCATCTTGACTATTAAAAATATTTACTCAAATTTTACATTAAAATTAAAAAATCTTTATTTTTATTGTTTAAGCAACAGTCGTATTAAATGTTTCCTTCCTCTTCCCAACATTTGTCTTTCATTATTTTTTGTATGTATTGATGTGATTATGCAATTTGTACTGCTTATTGTAATTACTTGTCCAAATGTGTATTTCTTTATCCCTTTATTTAATGCTTTGTCTTTTATTATATTTTTTAGCATCTCATTTTTTTCTTTTTCTTTTCATTTTTTTTTTTTTTGTTTCTTTGACAGGACGTTCCGTTAGCATGTCTGTGCTCTAACCTTTCCGGTGGGGGCGGTGTCATGCTTCCCAGAATGCACTTGTGGTCGGTCAGTCAGTCAGTCAATTGGTCGGACACACCTCCTCCAAACCCCTTTTCCTCCTCGTAAATTTTCTGCTTACCTCCCTTGCATGTACTTTACTATCCCTATTTCCCCTTTATCAGCATGTCTCGTTTTTTCTTCTCTATTTCATACACACACGCTAATTTTGTGGGGTTTAAAGAATTTCCATTGAACTTTTTTTCTTTTTAAATATTGTGCGGCATATTAATGACTTTATAGATTCATTCTAGACATTTTGACTTGAAAATCAGATCATCATAATAGTGAAGCCTAAGTGATGTTGAGTGTATAAAACTTACTTTTCAGAAAAAAGAAATTTATCTTTTGTAAATAACCAAACTGTTTTGCAAAGTGTGATCTCTACGGTTTAAAAAAAAATATAACAAGTATGTAAATCCATCAGATACGTAACAATTTTCTGTTTATACATCAACTGAACTGCACAATTTAAAATTTGCTGAATTAGTCTTGAACATCATTGTAGCATTTATTCCTGTTGTCTCCCTTTTCAACAATAAATGCAGAATCTCGTATTTCTCTCAATAACTTATTCTAATGTAATTCTTACAACTCAATCAACATTTTCATCAAAATTATTTAGTTCTGAAAAGTGACTAAAACAGAAGGCAGTTTTCTTGATTTTACTGCCTAATCTATCTTGCATTAGACAATCTAAACAAGATTGAGGTTAAAAAAAAAAAAAAAACAACAGAGGGGAAGGGGTCAATATAAAAGCTGCTTAGCACATACAGTAATTAAGTTTCCATAAGGCTTTTTAAACAGATGCATATTTCTAATTAGGTCCTCTCTTGATTTTTTTTTACCTAAAACAACCTTCTTAAACAATATTTTTAATTTAACATTTTATATTACTACAATTATATATGCAAGTGTGAGTAGGTATCCGTTTACCCCCCAAAATTAACTAACTCCTGATAGGAATCACTTAGACCAGTTGATATTAATTTTACTAATAAAATAAAGTAAAATAAAAGGTCTACTCTAACCTCTGCCCCCACTAAATGTTTAGAAGAAATAATGAGGAAAAAAAAAAAAAAAACTGTTTAAGTTACTTTGAGCACAAAGATAAAATCTGCAGGTTATATAATTTCTCAAATAGGTTGATGTTTTTAGAACCCTCATTTGGCTCAATGAATAAAAAACTGACTAGTATTTTATCTCAGATTTGATTTGAACTTTTTCATTTTGTGATGTAAACCATACCTTGTTACACTTTAAACTGTCCTTAACCATCCAGGCAAGATATATCCTCAGTTGAAACATGATAAAGAATATTTGCATAAAATTTACAAAGCATCTTAATGAAGTTTCATAATTTTTGCAATTTATTGTGTAGTACAATCAGATACATTGATTCCCTAAACTGACACCAGAATTAAATCTGCATGATTGGGGAGTGTCCTTTGCATAAGTCTCACATTACTCAATTATATCCCTGCTTTGAGACTAATTCTCCATGAAAAATCAAAAATAAAAAAATAAAAAATGCATGCAGCCTAAATTGCAATAGAATCTTAGTTTGGAAAATAATTAAGCTCTGACAAATCAAAAAGCAGTCTATATCAAGAAAACCAGATGAAGACATTCTAATTTGTCAGCTATTGAATCAATTTCTTTTTATTCAAAAGTTCCTGTGACAAGCAATTTGACAGCTACAAGCAGATAACAGTAATCATACCACAGGATTTAAAAATATTTTTTCCATGCAATATTGAATAAATTATGAGTTAATTAAAATTCAAGATTTTAAAAATCCTTACCACTTGTTACCTCACCAATTGCAAGCAGAAATTTACTTTCAGTAACATTATTTTTAATCAAATGTATTCATTTTTTTTTTTTTTTTAATAAACCAATTTTATAACTTGATATTTTCTTTTCGCTTAATTTTTTTGCAACAAATTTTTCATCTGAAAGTCATGTGGAGAACTGAAAAGGATTACAAATATTAATACTAAATGAAAATTCCAGTCAATGAACTTGCAAATATTAAATATTTGTTAAAGTATAATTATATAAAATTTGAATCACAAGTGACTTTCACCATCTCTACTCATCCTTGTAAAAGGGATTGGTAATGTAGCAAACCACCCACATATTTTTCCTAATAGGTACGGTTTCTGCTCAACCACACTAGGGTTATTTAAAGCCAGACAAAGGTTTTAAATTAGGGTTAATAAAGACCAGAAGGTAAATGCATGGACAATCCATTCTCCTCAGATAAGTTTAGGATGAAAAGGATTTGAATTCTAAAAAGGTTAGGTATTTCAATTTATTTATTAGATTGAAAGTTTGATCATAAATCTCAAGCTGCATCCACAAGCAAAGAGAAAAGGTGAAGAAAAAGAAAAGACATAATGAAGGCATCATTCTTTTTTATTTAACCATTCAGCATACAATTTTGCATGCTTCCCAGTCTTCTCAGACAATATAAAACAATGAGTTGACAGTTATAATTTGCCAGACTCAAACCTCAGAAGCTAGAGACAGGCAACAGCCATCTATGGATATCAACACAGAGTTTCTTGTGATAAGAGACAATATTACAAGAGTTTAGAACATTTAGAATAGGAGCAACGAGCATGGGCTGTCTAAGTGCAGCATAAGTACATAGCAGAAGCACTACAAGTGAAGATTCTACAATCTCCAGGGAAGCAATGAGAGAAAAGTACACAAATTTTTTTTTTTTTTTTTTAAACCTAAGGTTAGGAGGAGGGGGAATAAGAGAAAAAAAAAAAAAAATCAAAATGAGCATGAAAACAGAAAAAAAAAAAAAAAAAAAAAAAAAAATAATCCTGATACCACTGCCATGCTCAACATCAAGTTTTGTTTTGTTTTTTTTTTTCATTTCAATTTATTTTTTATTTTTTTTATATAATACAAAGTAGAAAAAGGAAAACAGGAGATGGTCAAATGGAAATTACTAGCCAACCATGAGCTAGCTTGGTTTGTAGCAGTCCGTGTACAATGATGAATGCCTGTGCCTTACATGGACCCACATTTAAAAGGAATTTTTTGAAATGACTTTCCCTTAAAGTTTCTCACATTTGATTTAAATCAACTCCGCTGTTTCAATGAGTGATGCAGATTCCACATGTGCTTATTCGCTTGCCCATCATCCGAGCCGAATGTCTGCAGCAGAGGTAAAGCAGGGAAGGGCGACGGCGGCAGCAGCGATGACAACGGCAGCAGTAGGAGGAGGAAAAGGAGTAGGAGTAGTAGGAGATGGAGGCAGTCTTCTGTGCCACTTAGCTATGCTAATATTTTCTCCCTCTGGACATCGAGTAGGCTTTACTTTTGTAGCCTGTGCTGGGGCCCCTGAAATGTGATAAAAGCCAATGTTACGGATGCCTGAGCCATTGCTGTGCTGTTGTCATATCATCACAACTGCTAAGACTTGTTTAAATTTTGTTTATCAGCATATCCAAGCAAAATTAAATTTACAATTGTTTTCACTAGGCCACTGCAATCAATACTTAAGTTGAATATATGTTGCTGTTGGTAGAAGGTAAAATGCCACAAAACTGAAGGTTTTAAAAACAAATAACATGTTAAAAAAAAAAAATTTTTTTTATCTAAGTGGAGGAACAAAGAAAAGAGCAGCAGCTGCTGCTCTAAAGCAGCAATAACAATTAAATGCCACGTTGCTCCCATAATCAGAAAAAGGCACTTACAATTAAAATACAACTTTGAAAAGGCATGCAAAGCTAGAAAAAGGGCTATGTGTGTGTGTATATATATATATATATATATATATATATATATATATATATATATATATATATATACATACACACACACATATATATATATATATATACATACACAAGTACCTTATAAAACTGGCAAGAATCTTTGTTAATATTCCATGGATGGCAAAGTGCCAGAAAAAGGGAAGAGTTTAAAAAAAAAAAAAAAAAAATGGATGAGGGGAGAAGAGACAAACATACCATAAAAATTACATGATTGACTAAAATATGAACAGGTGCTAATGGGGGAGAGAAAAAAAATTTTTATGATTGATGAAGAAAAAAAGTGGAGTGGCAACAATAGAATCAGTTATGCCAATGAATTTACTACTGTTGCAATGGAAGAATTTTTTTTTTTTTTTTAATGACTGAGGACAATTATGATGCAAAAGAAATTTTTGCATGAATTTTATGAAGTAAATATTGTCATATCCATAAATGTTTTGCTGATGAATAATGGGTCACCACTAACCCTGCAACAGCAGCAGCAGCAACCATTTTGCTAAGTGATGATCATAGCCTCCAACATTTTAAGCAACTAAAATTGCTAGGCCTTTATAAGCAGTTGTTGCTGCTGCTGCTGCAGATCCTGAAAGAAGCTATTGCCATCTGGTGGTAACAAAGTGGACAAAAGTTGTTTTATTTATGATAACCACTGCCGTACCATTGGTTGTACTGGCTTTGACCACCACCACCACCTCCGCCTCCATAGCCTTGATAGTAGTTCTGGTTGTAGTTCTGTCCCCATTGAGAGTGGCTGCCACTGCTGCCGCCACCACTATAACCACCACCACCTTGGTTAGAACCACTGCCATAACCCCACTGAAAAATGAGGAAAAATAGTATTAAAATAGGTATTAACATTTTAAGCAACTTATCTACAATAAAAATGTATATTAGATAAAAATTTTCCCAATTAAAATAACACCACAAAAGTATGAATGAATATTCTTCTGACAACTGTCAAAATAAAAGATGCTTACATTTCCATAGCCAGATTGAGATGAAGATCCCCACTGTCCACCATAATTGCCTTGATGGCCCCAGGATCCTTGGCCACCACTGTAAGGTCTGTTGGAGCCCCAAGAACCACCACCATAACCACCACTACGCTGACCAGAACCTTGATAACGCTGAGAAAGAAAAGAATAATTAAATAAACTTCAACATCATTAAGGGTGAGGGGGATAAAAGATATCTAATCATTTATTTTTTTTAAAAATTAGCCAAACAATTGCAGCTACGAATTTCAATCTTTACCTGTGTTTGTCTGTAGCCACCTGATCTGCGGTCAGGAGATCTACGGTCATAACGGCTGTGGGGACGAGGACCACGAGAGGAATAACCACCTGAAAAGAAAAAAAAAAAAAAAAAAAAAAAAAAAAGTAAATTCAAGAACTGAAGAGAAAGCAAGAATAACTTAAAATTTTAAGCCAGCATTAATTGGATTATTTAATTCAAACAGAACATACCTCGACCACCACCACCACCACTACCATATCCTCCACGTCTGTCATTATAACGAGGTGATGGTCTGTCACGGAAGCCTCGAGAACCACCACGCCCAAAGCGGTCTCTGTCACCATAACCACCACCCCTACGATAATCTCTGCGATCAAAGCGTCCACGACCTTAAAAATATAGAAACCAATTTAAATTTAGTGAAGTACAGTAAAAACTTCATTCAAAATCTGGTTGCAATTTAAACTCGCCATCAGATCTATTTTACCAATATAAATAAGCAGAAAGCAACCTGGTCAAAATGGCTTGTGATCTCTGCCTTAGAACAAATTAAATGAATTAAAATTGTTTTTTAATGAACATTACACTAAGACCTTACAATATTAAGCGAAAAATCAAATTTCACAACAGAGAGAGAAGAAAAAAACTTACCAAATCTGTCACCTCTGAATCTTTTAGAAGGAGGAGGGAGTGCTGCTGCACCCTCCTTTCTGTATTTTTCTATCAAAGGTTTGGCCTCCTCTTTGTCCAGCTCAGCATATATTACAGCATCAAACAAAGTGCCTTCCTCAGGAGCACTAAAGTTGGCTAAAAGGATAGAACTGGTTTAAGCTTATGAGCAATAATTGATAAGAGTAAAAAGTGAGGGAAAATATAAAAAGAAAGGAGGTGGGAGAGAGAGAGAGAGAAAAGTGGTTAGGGAAGGAAATCTTCACTTTAAATCTTTATATTGAGAAAAAAAAAAAAAAAAAAAAAAAAAAAAAATATAAATAAATAAAAATAAAAATATATATATATATAAAGAGGGGGTAAGGAGAGAGAAAAAAAATTAGACAGAAAGAAGACTGAAAACTCAACCCTAAGTGCTAGACCTGAATCCTAATCTTGATAGATGTCTCCTGGGAGGATAATAAATCGGTGATACCTTTAAAGCGATGCACAGGACAGGATAGACTTTTTCTGTTAAATAGTAGCAACATGTACTTTTATTTCTTATACATTTTAAGAATTTTTTATTTTTTTTTTTTATTTTTTTTTTTTTTATATATGTACATATATATATATATATATTTTTTTTATAAAACAGCTGCTGAAGATTATTATTTTTTTTTTCTACTGGAGTGACAGCAAGTGTCAGGTAATACTTTTTCGAGGCAAAATTAACACAGGAAATGAGTAGTTAATGATTCCATATTGTGCCACTTAGAGGCAGCAGGCCCTACCTTTCATCTCAAGCACCGCCTTTTCAGGTACATCTTTGCCCTCTTCTTTCTCCCTTTGTGATATGCGTCTTTTGAAATCTTCATCGGTAGGTACTACCACAACTGCCTTGCGTTGAAAGCCTTCAAAAGGCGTCATTTTACGTCTCCGGGCTGATGCATACACGTTTGTCTAGCATGGTAATAAAGAACAATATAATCAATGTGGCTTTAGATGGCACTTCTCTCTGTCAATCGCAGACGATTGGCGTTGTCTCATGGCATATATGGTCGCATATATTAAAAACATCAGCCTCTTGCATCTGCAATATATTCTTAAAATGAAAAGATATCAATATTGTTCCATTTTCCAGGAGGGTGTGGTTACAACGATCAGACCGCAGCAGGCAGCAAAAGCCGTCAACTTTCTGTACTGAATATCCATTCTTACATGACCCAAGAACTTACCAATGCCAGCTTTTGATACTATTTTAAAGAGAAGTCCACCTATTGAGAAACAGGGAAGTGCAGGATTAGAACTAAAACTGGTTTGGTATTCTAGCAGCAGCACTTCAGTACAAAACAATTGAAAGGATTATCAAGGAGGTTCAGGAAACTTGGGTGAATCAAATAGAATAAGTATCTGGCAATTTGAGGGAAATCTTGATAGAATAAATAAATAAATCTGTAGCCCCACCAGGTTTTATTCATTTTAAGAAAGGAAAAAAAAAAGAAAAAAAAAAAAAGACATTAATTTAAGCTGTGGGAGCAAATCAAAAAAGGGGTATGGAGAAAAACAAAAATCTATTTTATTTACTAGCAAATTCTCGAAAGGTAAAAGAAAAAAAAAAAAAAAAAAAAAAATATATATACAAATAAAAAAGTTTTCAAAATTCAAAACAAAAATTTTTTCAAGTTTCCCAACCCACTGCATATTCTATAGAAAGTTAAATTCAATATAAAGTTTTGTTGAAAGAAAAAGTTTCACTATTTAAATAAAATATAAGTTTCCTTTTATGATTTCCTGATGCCAGTTTTGTTTTTTTTCTTTTATTGTAGAGAGAAAAAATATGTATCAAATGCTGAAGTCTGCATTTTAGAAAGAAAAAGATTGCATTAAAAAAAAGAAAAAGAAAATCCACAAGAGAATCACATCAGGATTGCTCGTCACACCTCCAGGCTCCAAGGGGGGATGAGAAAGCTGGTTCAGAAAAAGATTACTTTGAATGTAAATACATTGATGGATCATTTTCATAAAATGAAACTGGAAAGTATATGTAAAGATAATGCTAGGTTTCACAATCCAGGAGGATGAGCAACTGTTGAGTATGTCAATTTGTGTAGATATTTGCATATAAATAATTTAGCAAGCCATGAAGTAATGTGTTGGCAATGCAGCATGAGCAGTTTAAGACATTGATAAAAATTATTTTAATTCAATCCACATAATACATGGAACAAGTACAATGGTTTTGATAAGATCAACATCTTACAGATTTCAGCAAAATGTGTTAACTGGACTGATTTGTCAAAAAAACCTAAATGCCTTGAAGCATATTTCATTCTCAACAACAAAAGGACAGGCAATTACCAAGATTTGTGCACTGTCTAAAATATCAGATTGCAATCCAAAAAATTAAGTTTAGCATGCAGACAGATTCCCTACAGATTCAAAAATTTCATTTGAATATCAACATGTACAAGTAACCATATTTTTTTTTTAAAAAACTAGAAATAGTGCATGTTAAAAAAAAAATTACATGATGTATTTTCAAAGAGGAAAATAAATAAAAACAAGTGTGCAATTAATAAATGTAAGACTGGTAAAATAAAAACTATTAAAACATTTAAGAACTCCCAAGTCAAAATATAAAATAGTAAAATCTCTGCAAAATATAAACAATTATCAAGTTCCCTCCTCCAATAATTTTTTCAATATCCAAAAGATACAGTTAGGTCTTTAAAAACATTTTAGATCATGTGCAGAACTTTGCCAAGTGATCTATTTTCCTTAGCATAGAACCTAAAAATGGTTCTAAATCAGACAGTGCCATGCAGAATATACCAGTTTCCAGTCCTTTTGACATGCAACCAAGTGCTGTCTACTTAGGTGCTTTAAGTAAAAAATGCACATCTTTAAATCATGAACAACATAACAAAAAGGAGGGACAAAAGCTGATTGACAGAATTAGATGCTTATGGCAGCAAAGTGCACCTAAAGAAAAGGTTATATATTCAATAAGAAATATACTGGACTGGTGAAGGAATCCCACTTTTCAGTTATATATCCAAGTTGTTGATTGGTAAGTTCATTGCAAAATTTACATCTACCTTGGTGTGATGATCAATTACAAAAATCAAAGTGCTTCACAAAAATCTCAAACTGAAAAAAAACAAGATATTTAATAAGTCCCAACAATCATTAAGTGCTTTGTCTTCCACTTCACACCAAGCAACATTGAACCATTCAGTTTCACAATTGAGCTTTCAAAGGCTCAGCACACAACATGTCATAAAATGAAATGCTATATACATCATGGCTGACATCTTTGACATGTGGGCAAGCACCAATGAGACTTTTTTTTTTAAAATATACAAATTTTATCAATCAGCAATGATGAGTTGTTAATGAAATCAACAAAATATAGTAACTATAGCAGACCATGAATTCTCCTCCTTCAAACTAAAAGATGTGCATAGACATTGCATACAGCCTCATTCACTTTCAGAAAAAACCCTCATTCACTTTCAGAAAAAACCCTCACTCACTATTTAGGATCAGTCACCCCATTTCCTTCATTGCCTGCATGTTCCTCTTCATGGAAAGAAGCCTATACTTAAGTGGAATGGGAAGGGATAAATCTAAGAATTTAGTTTTCCAAATACCTGATCCAAAATGTAGTTGCGCTTCTTGCGAGCTGCCATCTCAATCATTCGGTTTAGGCACTTTGTGGACTTGTCAATGAGAACATCCCATCGTCCAGCATAGTTCCTCTTACGAGGCAGACCCATCACCTGCAATGGTAATTTTAGATTTCAAAATTATCAAAGAATGTTTTAAATTTCATGAATTCTATTAATGGCACTGTACAAAGGATATCAGTATTTCAGATTAAATATACAAGCAGTATCTAAGTATTCAAGCAATGAACAATTATACAACTAAAGTGGGAGGGGAAAAAAAAAAAAAAAAAAAAAAAAAAAGAAAAAAGTTACCTTCATTTTGTCAATGATGTTATTAGTACCAAGGACATTAAACTTCTTTTCAGGATTAGCCTTGGCATGTTTTTCTGCCCAAACAGTTTTACCTGCACCAGGTAAACCAACCATCATGAGAATCTACAAAAACATTTAAGAAAGTTGTATTTTATATTAATATTTTTCCAGTTGATACATTCGTTTTTCTTAGATGTTTTGGTCTCTCTATGAGAGAACATTGAAATTTTGTTGTGTCAGTGTCCTTGTTCACTGCAGGATCACATAATTTAAATAAGATTTCAGCAGTGATAATTCTTTCAAACACGTTTGGCTGAAGATCAATTTATTCAATTTTCAAATTAGCAGTATTATGTTTGGTAAATTTGCCAAAGTTCATATTTATTCTTTATTATTATTATTATTATTATGAATACTTTTGAATGTTTGCTACATTTATTTTACCTTGGATGTTTATTTTGATCTCACTTTCTATGAGGTGTGTGTGATTGAAAAATTGCATCTATAACAACTTACCTCACATTCTTCCTTTTTAGCTGGAGGTAAGGAACCCCTGATCCGCTTTTCCAAATCAATGGTTGAGAGGAAGACAAACTCCTCTTTCAAAGGGAAAATGGCTCTTCCTTAAAAAAAAAAAAAAAAAAAAAAAAAAAAAAAAGTTAAATAGCCAACAAGTCTTAAAATATGGATATTTAAATACCAAAATAAGATGAAAATTTTTCAATGGCTTAAATATTGGGAAAGACTAAGAAAATGAGCTTTTAACTGAAGCTAATTTAAAACATTTTCTATTTTGAATAGCCAATATATATATATATATATATATATATATATATATACACAAATTTTGTATGCATCAGTGTCAGATTTGTATTAAATAATCCAATACAAATAAAGAGAAAACATGTTTCTGGTTACAATCATTAATTTATAATGACTAGACAAGGAAGAAGAGGGGAAAAGACAAAGAAAAAAAAAAAAAAAGAAAATGCATACATTTTGTCCAAAATTGCATTCAAATTCTGTATTCTTGGTCAGAATATGAGCAAACAATGGAGCCTCTCCAATCTCTTCTCTATCAATTTCAAAGCATACACCAAGATCTTCTCCATTCTTGCTGTAGGAGATGGTGGGAGGATCACTTTCCCAATCCTTAAAAAAAAAAAAAAAAAAAAAAAAAAAAAAAACACATAAGTTTGTTATCCATATAACAAGCCTAATGTCTTAATTGAAGGAGCTGTCATTTTACAAAATTTATAAACTAGCAGAGAGAAATGTTATTTCTGAATAAACAAAGACAATTAACCAACAACATTTTTGCATTTTATAGTAGGCATTAACTGGGTTAAACCAAGGATTTATTTTAAGGGCAAAATTTAATAAAGCACTAAGAAAAGGAGGTAGAAGAAGAAGAAAAAAAAAACTTACTAAGTATGCAGTGATAACATCACCAGTACCAAATTTTTCACCATAATCTTTGAATTTGCAATCTGTTGAAGCTTTTCCTGTTCCACCATAACCATGAGATAATGGTTCTTCACCTAAACAGATAAAAAAAATTTGTAAATAAAGATTCAATATGCAAAAAAAAGGATAAGTTTTATGCAGTAAACTAAAGCAATATTTTCAATAACTTAAAATACAAATATATTAGTTGCTCATTTACACATTTACCTGAGATCACTTAGTGAAATGGAATAAATAAACAAAAAAAGCGAAATGATGTTGGAAGTTAGGATAGCCAACTTATACAATAGCATTTTCAAAATTTTGGAATCTTTTTGGGGTGGGACACTAAATAGACGCTACCAATAGCAAGCATATATGTAATTATGCAAAAAGTCACAAATGAATTAAAATATTCCTTACAGTATCAATTTAACTGATATTTAATTATAAAATGATAGAAACATATTTACCCAATTGTAAGCTTGTAGCATCAGTAGAAAAACCAACTCTGACAACATGCTTGTTTTGTTCCTCACTTGGTAAATGGTTAACATTAAGTTCTTCACCAACCTATAAAGGAAAGTGGGGAGAAAAAAAAAAAAAAAAAAAAACGCCTTTATTATTAAACAAAAATAATGAGTAAAATATTTCTGGGCATGCATACTATTTAGTTAAAATTATAATAGTACAAGATCTACAAAATTACCTTTACTTCAAAGGCCACTTTACCAGTGTTTACACCATAAGTTGAACGGACTCCAGCCCACATAAAAGCAAATCCATCAGTGGTCAGAGGATGAGCTTTGTAATTGTTCTCATCAATACGAAGGTTCAAGTCACAATTGTCTACAAAGAGAAAGACATTTTCCGTTGATCATCAATTATGACAATCTAAATAAAATATGCATAGAAGTTATTTATGAATAAAACGTCAAAGTTTTAAAAAAATTTCAAATAAAAATCAGTTATCTGTCTATCAAGTAAAATAGCCTTAAGCCTAGCATAAAACTTAACAAGTTTACTTACATCTGTCAAAAACAACATCTGTGGATTGCACCCAACTATCATCTTCCATTTCAACTTTTTTAGGTGGTGGGCTTCGCCTGAAAGACAAAAATCAAATTAAAGCTTTAAATAAATAAATAAATAAAAAAAAAAAAAAAAAAAACACCATGCTGACTATATAGATAACCAATGTTAAGGCCCATAATGAGTGGATATAGCAAGACCAGAAACTATTATAGTTATTGCACCAATCAGAAGTATAGAGAAACTACTTGTACAATAAACAAGTTACAATTTTATTTTCATACAAGGTTTTTTTTATTATTATTATTATTATTCTATAAAACTTATTTTTTAAATCCAAGAGGAGAGGAAAAAATAATTAGCATCAGAAATCCCTACTTACCTTGGTGAATGTCTTCCACGATCTCTGGAGCGTGATGTTGAACGTCTGGAACGATCTCGAGATCGTCTCTCCTTTGATCGAGAGCGTTTCCTTTTCTGGGCTTTCTTTTCTTTGTCCTCAGCTACAACAGTTCATATAATTAAGTTAAAAAAAAAGAAAAAAAAAAAAAAAGACAACTCCAATATTAGACACAAAATAATTTTAATTCCTAAAAACTACCAAAGATTACTTACCTTTGGATTCATCTTGCTGCTGTTCATCATCCTGAGAAGTTTCATCAATAGTTTGAAATTCACCCTCAGGCATATCATTTTGATCTTCTTCCTCCTCTTCCTCCTCCTCTTCTTCATCACCTACATCATTCTCAGCATCCTAAATAAAAGGAATAGTTTAAGGACAAAAATTAAGATTTATAAAAACCTGCAATATTCTGCAACAACAGATTCGTCTAAATTCACTTAGGAAATGCCAAAATAAAGGCAAACCACAATATTAAAATAGAAAAGATACTAATAGAAAATACCCAATAATTAATAAAAACTGACAAACTTCACCTTTAATATTTTTACAAACTGCAGATAAAAAGCACAATCTAATTAGAGATTAATTACAAAAAATAGGTACCTCCACATCTTTGTTATACCTAAGCTTTTAAAAAATAAAATAAAAAAAATAAAATCTTTTATTAGTTTCCAATAAGCAAAATACTTCAAAACTAATTTAAATTAACTGGAAAGAGTTTTTCTTTTTGCTAATAATTGATTTTAGCACCATTTTTAGGCAATGTAAATCTTCCAAAATTAAAGTATACTCTTCTGAAACTTTGGGTATATTAGCGGATTTAAAGTATAATTAATCTGATTTGAAACGTTATTTAAGTTTTAAATATTGCAGAAATTCATTTTTTTTATAACTACAGTGGATATACCCGTAAGAATTACTTGAATATAACGTGTGCACCTTCTTTAATTTCGAACTACAATCTTTAAAATTTAGGAAAATATTCTCTAATGTTTAAATTTTAAGTACTTTGGTTTTAAATTACTATAGTTATTGCCTTATTTTCTGATATCGTGCATCCGTATTTACAGAAATCGGCACGTGTATACACATACCAAAATAATTCAAACTTTTTAAAATATTGGTGTTTGAGGATTTGTAATAAGCTTTTTCATTTATAACTATTAAATATAGTTTTTACTAAATATCACCCAACTGGGTCAAATTAAGACAATTTAAAAAAAAGATTTTTAACTATAAATTATTCAAATTTAAGAAAAAAAATTCATTAAATTTTTAAGACAATAATGTCCATAATTTTACTAAAATAATATCTTAGTTTTATTGCATTTTTTTATTTTAGGATTCAGAGCAAACTTTCGGTTACTGGGAGCCATGTTTTACAAAAACAAATTGATTTAAATTCCGCTTTTAAATAATATAAACATTAAGATCTGGCGCGGAGGAATAACAGACGTAAGAAAAAAAAAAATCTAAAAAATAATTTAATTCATTTGTGAATAAGCCTTGAAAATTTAATTAAAATCCGAAAATTTGATATTTTTTTCCACGCTGAAGGAAAAAGAAAAAAGATCTTTAACTAAAATTTCGAACGTGCTAAAAACGATTAAAAAATACTTTGGGTCTTTCCTCTTTACAACGAAGAATTTGACGATAAAACTTTTCATTAACGCATTTTTCATATCTTTTTTTCGACGAATTTACCAACGTAAATAAAATTAGCAGAAATTGAAGAAAAAAACAAAAACCAACTAAATTCATATTCACGTGGAATGTTAAAGACGAAAAGGTTCTACACACCTCATTACCATCGACGTCTAGAGAAGCTTCGTCAGCATTTCCGCCATCAATATCTTGGGAAGACTCATCGGGAGCTTCTTCATCTTGCATACTGTCATCAATGGAATCATCTTCATCTACAAAAAAAAAAAAAAAAAAATTCCGTTTAACTAGGGAAAAGGTCAATATTTACAAGAAAAATATTTACAGTAGATAACATTTTCAGTAAAAGTTTAAAATCAATTCCTCCATAGTTAAAGTAAAAATATAATTAACTAGACATAAAATCTACTATCCCAAATATTTTAAAAATCTATAAATGCAATGCTGTTCAAATGCAGCTTTTACAGAATGATCCCTCTTCAAATTTATTTTAAGAGACATTTACAATATTCGTGTTCACTGTTATGATCGGTGGTTGTATTGTGTCGTTTTCTATTTTAGGCGCACAATCAAATGTTAATGCATATTAATTAACAGAGTTCATATATATATATATATATATATATATATATATATATATATATTTTTATTACTGTTTCCCTAGTCATTGAACGATTACAGCAATAGATTGACAATAACAGCTACTTAAGTTTTTGTTTTTTTTCAAGGAAGACAAAAAGTTTCCTATCAACCTATGATTGCTGCATTTAAAAAAAAAATTGCACGCATATAGAAACACGTTAGAAACAATAGGCGGAACGAAAATTCGTTTTACAATATTTAAAATTTCAAAATAGTTGAAACTTCTTTATAGCAGGTCAACAACAATAATACTTAGAAAAAGTTCGTTCTTAAAAATGTAAATTAATGTTAAACAGAAACATACAAAAAGAGTTGGAAAAGTAGAAGAAAAGAAAGGTGAATTGCAAGATGTTTCTAGTTTTTGCTTGCAATGCTTAACCAGACACCACAGCAGTCCACAAAGCAAGTGCCTAGAAACAGCAGCAGCACTGGCTACGTTACATACGTACGTAATGCAATGTACATTTCCGTACATATCGTATAACTACTTCTACCATAAAAAAGGACATCGACTACTGACTTCTACATAAACAAAATAAAAAATCTCACAACTTTACCCTCTTACAATTAAAAATTCATTAATTACTACAATTAAGGAGTTGGTTTAAAAAAAAAAATATATCAGGCTAAAGAGATGTACTGCTATCCGAAGAAAATAACACAGAATGGAGATTTGGATGTCTATTGTTGAATTATAATATTGATTAATAGAATATATTAGTCGCAGCAGTTTAATGAGGAAAGTTGATTGCGCTGGAATTAGCCTTAAAATAAAATATTGCGTAAAGAAAAAAAAAAAGAAAAAGAAAACTTAAAAAAAATCCATAACAAAAGATTTAATAAGCTATTTTTTAAACTGCGCAGAAAAGTGCTGCAAACGAACTCTTTCTTATATTTTAAACAAAATGACTAAGTTCATAAAAATGTGTACTTATACCATTACTCAAACATGAAGAGGAGGAGGAAAAATAGAGAAATTAGAAAGACGACGTAATATGTGAATAATAAATTGTACGACGAGTTGCTTGCGGTGAAAGAGACTAGAGCAAATAAGAAGAGAAAGGGGGTCGGAGGAGTCTTGTATCATCGACCGAGCAAAGTGAGTGAGAGAGAGGGCTAGGCAGCCACTTGAGTCGAACAACGTTTCACTTCGCCTTTCACCAACGAAAAGAGAAAAGACATGCCATAATGGTTGGCGGCCGCCGTTGTCGTGCTGATGGTGGACCATCATGTTTTTAGAAAACTGGCATCTTGTTTTTACTCAAACTCGCTCAAATCCTTCACAAAACATACAAAAGTATTCTCGTTGCTATTTTCTAGACTTTCATGACAATTTAAAGTTTAAGATAGGTTTAAGTTATTTAATAATGTTATTTTTTTCCCATTAAAACAAACCTTTTCAAGAGAATTAGGGCATTGCATTAAGCGGACCGTATCAGTTTTCAAATACATTAAGTTAGTTAATACTAGAAGGGGACATTTTTTAACTAAAATAATACACACAAATATACAGGCGAAAATTTAACAATCTTTAACCGGCAAGTGGATTTCCGTGAACCAGAATTAGGACCGTTCCCTTTTTAAACGAAAACGTACCTGGAGCATACATCAAACTAGACATTGTTCCCAATCAGAATGGGCTCGAGCCGTCAGCTTTGGCAGAATATTTAAAATATGAATTATGTAGACTAAATCCGAGGTATGAAAGAAATATAAAAAAAGAAAAAAAACTTAGAAATGCAATGAATATTCCGCGATGGAGTTAAAGCAGCTCAGAGGCGGAGAGAGTTGGTTTTTTTTTTTCAGGCGAGATTTGAATATATCAATGGACGTATTCTCCCTCACTGGCTGCTGTAGAAGGGTTTCTATATTAATGACCAGCCTCTGGGTTTTTCTTAAACACCAGAAATCCGGGATGAATATCAAAATCCAATTCCTGTATCTCGGAATAGTTCAGTCTAATGTGAACGACAATAGAAGTACGGACGGCTGTAGTGGATTAATTAAACTTTTGTTTGTCTAAAACGAGGAACCCTTCGCTCGTTTATATCCGTTACAGAAGAACAGCAATATGAGAGTGATAAGAGAACTGGCGGGAGGAGAGATGGTAGGAGGAGCGTCACGAGGAGGAGACAGAAAATAGAGAGAGTAAAAATGCGGCCGTCCCCCTTCTTTTTTGACGTGGATGAGTAGGAGAAGGCCACAAAGAAAGGGAGATCAAGTAGTAGTAGCAGCAATGGTAGAAGTACATAGGCAAAACAAGAGAGGGGGGCAGAAGGAGCAGGTAGATTAAAAGGAGGGGGAGGAGGAGAAGAAGGCGGCGGCGGTTGTATGACCTCTACAGGAACAGAGGCTGACCTAGTTTCATGGCTGCTGCAGAGGCAACTACAGAAGCTCAGTCATTTCTTTTCCATCCATTATTTTTGATTTAGTCTCTCTTTCTGCACCTCGGTGACGATATCATTAGCAGCAGCAACAATATTGCCATTGTTCAAATACAGCTTGCTTTTTAAAAAAGCAAGTATTAAAATACCTAGCAGCTAAGAGTAAGGACACTAACCGAATTTTATAAAAGAAAAAATTTGGATTTTTAGTCGTTAGGCTGAAGCAAAGAAAATTATTTTGGTAAATTAAAGCAGAAATTATCTAGAAAAAATTTAGTAGATAAATCAGTAAGAATAACTTTGTTCACATCAAATCGGGAAAAAAATTTAAGTACATTTTTTTTTAAATAAAAATTCACACAATATAAACGCAAGATATAAATACAAAAATATTGATCAAAATCGTAAACAAATTTAAAAACTATTTTCAATACAATAACATTTAAAAGGTGATAGCAGGCAATAAGTGAAATTCATTAAAGTACAAAAGAAATGAATGTTTTATTTGCAGAAGTGTTAAGATTTAATAATATCTTTCTTTAACCTACAAAAACTATTCACACCCCATTTTTGTGAGTAATACAAATTAGCAAACTTTAGGAATGATTAAAGTTTGTATACAAAAATTGCACTTAATCGAATGAAAGTAAAAGCAAATCTTTATTCATAACATTCAGATTTAATTTTGTTGATGGCTACTACCACTATAAATTTTTTCTCCTACTACCACCTTCATTACTACTCCTACTATCACCCGGTAGTAATTGTATAAGAGTAGTAGTTATAGTTGCAATAAAAGGAACGTTTAAAAATGGGGAAAAAAAGGAAAAAAATTAAGCATATATAAACGATCGGTATGAATGAAAGATCGCCAGAGAATCAAGCAAAATGTTTAACGTGTGTAATCAATGTTTTAAGCAAAGTAGATAGACAATTAAACAAATCTGGAGGGGGAAAAAAACTAAGGGAAGTTTATTTCTCTTAAAAACCAGGCCATAGTCATGCGTAGGCAGGAAGGTTCAGTTGTGACAAGAGATTTACCACACACATGGGGAGACAGACCCTTGATAACCGGCCGGCGGCCCGGCATTAAATGGTGGTCAACGGTTAATTTAAACAATAAAATCCATGCACACATAAACAAAGATATCTTTACAAATGTCTAAGCGGAAATAAACACCACAACAGTGAGATCGCAGCTATTTCATTGTTGGTTCATTCACAAGGGTGGGAGGGATACCAAACGGTTGTAGGAAACGAAGAGAAAACATCGTTCCTCTTTGAGATGGGAAGGGAGTTAAGACAGGGCATTTTTTTCAGAAACCATACTGATATGAAACATCTTTTCAAAACCGATGTTTAAAGAAATGAGAGAAGTAGATAAATAAACAGTTCTTACCTGCAATACCGTGTTCTTTGTTCAAGGCTTGCTGTAATCGCTTCACTAGAACTGGCTTCGTACCTTTAGAGTCCAGGCCACGAATTTTTAGTTCCTCGCGCAATTCTGCAACTTTGAGCTTATTTGGATCCATATCACTCATTTTTAGCCTAAAATTGCGTACTTTGCAGTACTAAAATAAATTAGGTAAAAGAAAATCGAATTTTAAAAAAGTAAATACTGTTGGTTGAACGAGTTTTCTGAATGACGCTAACCCTCTGCCTTCAAGCTTTGACGCAAATGGCGGGCGAGAGATTTGAACATGCGCAGATATATTATGATGCGGGTGATATGAAAATTAGGTTTCTCCGAAACGTCATCTTCCTCCATTCAATTTAAATTCCTTAAATGGATTATTTTTATTAGATAATTTTTCTACTTTTATTGTATTTTTAGTTTAATTTTAAGTAACTGAACACATGTGCAGCAATTATAAAGTTACAGTTTAACTAGCTTTTATTATTTTTCTCCAAAATTGACTAGTAAACAAAGTGAAATACGAAACCACCAGAAATTTAAAAGCAAGATTTTAAATAATTTCAAGAAACCAAGTCATATTTTTTTAATAACTTTATCATTTACTTAATTTTAAGCCGAAAATTCTAACACTATTTTTTGCAATTTTATTTCAAACATTAAGAAAATTATTTCAAGAAATATTCACTCAAAAATTTATTTTATATCACAATGATTTAGATATGAAAAATAACTTATCTTAAAAAAAAAAAAAAAAAAATTTAAAATTTTTAAATATATTTTTCCATGAAATATTGTAATAAAGATAAAAAGGGGAGGAAAATGTGCGAATTCGTTCCGGTTAGATATAATTCGTTATTTCTATGAACCCAGCATTAGTGACGTAACCCTTCCGGAACTTATTCCATCCGACTACGAAAATGTTCTTGTATTTGACTATCATCTCGTACTTCCTCGTAATAAAACTGTCCCTTCACTCTCCGTCGCATAAATATCACGACCTTCTTTTTTTATTTTTTTTTTTTAAAAAAAAAAAGATTCACTGTATATGAGGGCAAGAGGAAAAACTTAAATATATATCTCGTTTTCTTAACCAAAGTAAAAATTAAAACTGAGAGTGCAAAAGTTATTTCGATTCTATCTTATTAAATTGAAAGTTTTTTGGGTCTTTTTATCATATGCCTTGTTACATAATGATGTGAAAGTTTGTTTTTTTTTGTCGAGAGAGGGATCAGTTTTCAAATAAACTGACCTCTCTGAATTGAAAAAGAGGACATTTTACAAATAAGTAGATTATTATTTTTTTTTTTGATATTAAGATTTAAACGCTTAAAAAATATATTTAAATCTTCCTTCATTAAATTTTATTTACTGACTATAAATTTTACAGTAAAATAAAAAAAAAAAAAAGAAAAAAGGCAATTTTTTCAGCTTTCAAAAGAAATGATAGATTGGGACCCCACTTACAAGTTAAATTATTACTTTATCAAATTAATCATCAACAGGGGTTTTCTCTCCCTTTCTCCTCCTACCCTGAACATTTAAAAAGCCTAAAGCAAGTTCAAGGTTTCAAAAACCGTTTATGAATACAAAAATTTGAATTTTTCTTTAAAAACAAAGGGAGAAAATCTAATTCAGTCAGAAGATATATAAATTAATTCCATTTGTTCCTATCTAATAGTACTTAACTTTACTGATTGTCTGCTATTGAAAAGGAGAGCAGATTTATTTAAGAGACATCAAATCCTCCAACAAGGAGAATTATGAGTAGGCGCCATGTTTTTATAGTTCACTAGCATTTAAAATTACAGCTATATAGGATTTTTTTTATCATTGTACTTTAAATGCGGCTGCACAAACCAAATCTGATGTGACTTAACTACTCACTTCCATGAGTAGAAACTTTTTCAGAGATTTAAAATGCAAATAAAAATATTTAAAAATACAAGATTTCTAAAAAAAAATAAAATAAAATGCTTACTATTTTACAAAAATATCAAAGCCGGTAGATGGGTCAGTTCTTTCGAACCGTTCATAATATTTCTTCTATGAACTATACCTACCAAAAATTAAAATTAAGTCCTGATGTCCAATAGGTATCCTAAAGGTAAACCATGAAGTTTACACGTGTGTTTAGTAGGAACAAGCAAGCAAGCGGTGAATTGTTAAACTAAACACAACCGAAGCTAAGGTATGTTGCGAATATTAAACAAATATGGGGGAGAAACTCTGTCTCGGAAAGAAAGAAAGAAAGAAAGAAAAAAAAAAACAAACAAGCATATATTTGAGTTCACGCTTTAAAAGTAGTTCTCGATAACGAAAAAGTTTTCCTTCCAACGTTTTTAATTAATAGAAATCATGTGCTTCTGTTTTGTAAACACTAAGCATCTACTTCCATTTAAAAATTTTACACAGACCGATTTGAAAATAATTTCCCCCCTTTTTGTGCGAAATAGCCATGCCCGGTGGTGTCATTCGTCCTCATCTTTCATGTCTGGGATTTTAATTTTACTTTTTTATTTTTAGAATCATTTATTTATTTTTGGATAGGGGGTCCCTAAAAAAAAAGTTGGTAAAAATTTTAATGGCAATTGCTAAGTGCATCTTAAAAAGAAAATAATTGTACTCGATTTTAAAATGACGACTTTAAAGTTTTTCCCCGCTTTTTGAAGGGTAGGAGGAAGGAAACATTTTTTTTTAATCGATTGACATTTTCGGTCTTCTTCTCCCATCACGCATAAACTAAATCGGTTTGGAAATATATTAAATAATTAAGTTGAAATCAAGAACAAGAAATGCAAAAACCGCTATTTTCTACCTTACCTACTGTTGCTTTTAAAATATTTTAAAAAAAAGAAAAAAGCATCAATTCAGTTCCGAACTTTTTTTTAAGCGTAAAAAATAAATTTCATACATTCTGCAATGCATTGAAATTGCAGATTATTTTTAATTGTAATTGCTAAATTTGTAAATTTTTATTTGTTTTATGACTATCTTCAAAATCAGTTTCTGAAAAGTTTTTTAAACGGTACACTCATAATTGAAAGGACTTTTTAAAAATTAAAATACCGGGTAAAGAAAGAAAGAGAAAGTATCCAATAATTTTTAGTTTCAAAATATAAGTCTCTTGCTTTGTGTAAATTTCATCTAAGGATTAAAAAAAAACGGTTATGCATTATTAAACAGAGATTATTCTTAAAATTTAAAAAAAACATTTGAATGTTAATGTTTTTTATTTAATGATTAAAATTTAAAAATAATTAATCTTTACTTCTGTAACATTTTCGTTTGAAGGGATTTTATTTTTAGTGAATCATTTTTAAAAGTTTATTTGGACTTAAAAAAGTAAAGATATGCGGTCCTTATAATTCGACAATTTAATAAAAAAAATCCTATTGAATAATTAATAATTGATCTCTCAGGTTTCATTTTTATTTATTTATTTTTTTTTAAATATCCGTGATTTTCTTTAAACGTAAATTCCTGGAAAGTAACCTAACCACGTGACTGAATTTTTTTTTTTCACGTTTAAACTGTTAAAAATGGCATAGTATTATTAATATTGGCGTAACACAATCTTTCTGGCCGGCAACTTTCATTTACCATACAAAAGTTAAGCTTGATATCGTGATTAGGGTAAAAAGGGGTTTTTGGGGTTTTTTTTGCATGATTGCAAGATTTTGCAGCCATATCTACTAGTTGAGTTAAAAATAATAACTTTTAGTTTTAAATGATTTTTTTTTGTTGTTGTTGTTGTTGGTTACAATTAAAAAAATATTTTTTTTATAATTAATTCTTGTCGACTTCTGGATGAAGATCTCAAGTCATTTTTTTTTTTTTTTTTTTTTTTTTAGAAGAAGACTAATTATTAACTTGATGCCTCTAATGACGATATCATACGAGCAGAATAAGTGCAGTGCTGTGCACCCAAAGATCTTTCATTTTCCTTTGCCTCGGTTAGGCGCACACTTTGAATTTCTGCGAGAAAATCGTTCTCGTAAAGTTGTCTTTTCTCACGAACGATTATATCCCCAAACTAACTTTGATGAGATTTTCTTCTGTTTCAGCCGTGATATAAATTAAATCTGAAAAAAAATAATTTTTTGTGTCTATCCCTAGTTGTCCTTGAATTCACAAAGGCGAAAAAAAGCAAACAGCTTCCTTCGTTTCTACATCCAAATAAACAAAAACACGAATCATTTTTTTAAGAAGAATTTAATAAAATTTTAAAATTTTTTAAAAGTTCAGGTTTTAAATTTCAATGGATGAATACTAGGAAATTATTTAAGTCTTTTTGCTTAATCAGGCACAAGGCTATGAGCGTAAACTGAACAATGATATTGTTTTAGTTTTTTGCATAACATTTATTTTTTGTTCTATATTTTTTTTACTACAGCATGTTTCCATAAATTTTGATTTTTTTCTTTTTTTGCCTATTCTTTACAATTATATTTTTAGTCTGTGCCCATTGATTCCATAATCAACAGATGTGACGACGAGCTCAATAATAAATTTAAAAAAAATCAATTCAAATTGCTATTCTTGGACTAATTTAAGACAACTAAAGGAAAAAATAAATGGTACTTGTTGAGTTCTGTTCATACCTAACAAGGGGTCTTACTTTATTAACCAAGCTTTGCTTTCTTAAAATTTAATTCCAATTATAATTTAATTTATAAGGGACATTTTATCCACATTACTGCCCATATCCATGGATGTCCTAGTTTGAAATTTATAAGAATTTCAAGTGCCTTATTATTTTGTTCTGGGTTGGAGCTGCCCAATCCTCACTTTCCAGCCTTGACAGTTTAAAATCCTTTACACAGTCTTGTGGGGGAATGATTTATTTCTCACCCTACAGTAACTTCCCCACAGACAACATCACAATCCTATTTCTACTTTCATTGCAAATGTTCAGACGAACTTATTCTTTAGTGTCACCAACCAAAACTTGACTTGCTACATCCACAGAGTTGAATCACCTTCATTCCCTATGTATTCCTTTGATAAGAAAGACGTTCCATTTCAAAAGTTTCTTTCCAAGGGTTTGTGGAAAAGATTCCTACATGGAAGCATCCTTGAAGGCTTCAGTCTCAAGCTCTTCAAGTTTAGGATCAATCATTATAGATCCATCATCATAATCTCATTTCCTACCTACTCCTTTTGTTTTCATATCAGAAGCTTCAGTCAGTAATCTTCTACCTTAAGTGGGTTTTGGGCCTTGTAATGGGTGAACTTTAGCAAAAAAATCAAAATTAAAATATAATAAAAAACAAAGCTGTACTGAAAGAAGAGTTTAGTTTTTTTACTAATGTTCACCCACTACAAGAGGGTTAATGTGTGGCATTGTATTAGCATACGAAAAGAGAAGTGAAGTTTTGGGGGCTATGCAGGAAAGATAATGGCTAACTAGACTCGAAGAAGTTAAGATTTAATTAATGAATAACATTTCAGAGGTCAGTCAGTGAAATCTTTTTGGTATCAATCTATGACAATGCTATATCATTTGTCTAAAATCATTATGGTCATTAATTTTCAGAATAATAGCAACTTTAGCTTCTAAAACTTCTGTATAAGTCCTATTTTTTTTTTATGTAGTTTAATGCTACCAGCAAGTAGAAATATTTCTTCTCCTGATGATGGCCATTTTGGCCGAAACTAGTCGAGGAACCTAAATGAAATAATAATAAAAAAAAATGAAAGAATATTAATTTACAACCCAGTGTATCTGAAGATTTTAATTTTTTAATATTTTTTTTATTGTTCAAAAATATATATATATGTATGTATGTATGTATGTATATATATATATATATATATATATATATATATATATATATATAAAAAATTCTATCAGTCTTTTTCCATAAAAAGTAGAAATGAACTGCAAAAAATGTGCATATAGAATTAAAACAAAATATTGTTTGCCATAAGATAATAGATCTAAAAAATATTTATTTTATATGGGAGGATCATTTTTTTTTTAATTTTATTAACAGATTGTGACATCTATCAGAGAGATGAAATTTAAATTTTTATTATTACATTATTCCAAAATTTTAACACATCAGCAGACAGCTATTAATGTCAACAACTGAGCACAAATAGTTATTAATTGAAAAAAATAGTAATTAATGCATAACTACGTGTACAAGAATGTCATTTTTGATAAAAGTTAAAATATAACCATAAATATGTAAAAAATGCATGTCAAAAATTCCTTTTTTCACAATATAGCTATTTGTGCTGTGTTATAATGCTTATTATCTAAAGAACAATAATAATACTGAATAAATTTTTTTTAAATATTAAAATATATTTAATCATATCTCCCTAATAGCTGTCATGATCTATAAATGTTCACCCAATATAACGCCCAAGAGCCACTCAAGGTAGAGGGTTACTAAAGGAGTTTTTTTTATGGATATGGAAAGTGGGAGGAAGTAAGAGTATATGTACAATAGAGAATGGTTGATCCTAGAAGAGGTTAAAACTGTAGTGTTCAGGGAACCATCTTCGTGAGTGTCTGTTCTATAAAGTTAGCAGCTCTTGGGGGAAAAAAGCTGTTTGAATGGAATTTCCTTCTTACCAATGGAATACAAAGGGAAAAAGGATCAGATGAAAAAATTATAGAATCTTCAAAATTTATCAAATAGACCCCCCCCCCCAACTTTTTTAATATCTAATTTGGCACCTGACTATTTTTTGTAGTGCTCTGCCTATTTATAACATTGTAGGAGCTTTTCCAAACCTCAGGCCCTATGGCACAACCACCAAAAATGGAGTCAGTTGGTAATACATTCATCAGTGCAGTACTCCAGGATAATGTTAAGGTTATGGATAGTGATAGTTTTATATTTTATCATTATTTGGATGATTTAATCATATTTCACTTTTGGGTCATTAAGGGACTAGTGTTTCAAGCAGCAATATTTAGGTGTTTATAATCTAAGAAAATTAAATTATAAGACGTAAGGTGATTTTTAGAGAATGTTTTTTTCTAAATACATTCTTCATATGGCGGAAAATACTGAATATATAGTAAAAAGAAAAAAAGGAAATTTTT